TATTTTCCTGTTGCAGAGTTCAAGACCTGAACAAATCGATGGGCTTGTCAGGCATATTGCTTTCAATATAAAGAGAATTCAATTCTAGTTTTTAATTGTTTTATGTAACACTTCAAAACCTATTAAAGATAACTAAGTCAATTTGGACAGGATATGTATTTGTCTTGTAGACACTGCAGATTACTCTGCAAATTTTAAGATGTTTCATTATTCATCAGTTGTGTTAAGCAGTATGAAAGGTGTCAGCAAAGAGAACAGTTTTGTGTGTCCTGTTGCTTCTGTTCAGGTGGTTGTGCTGTAGGGGAAAGCTCAGTGCATCCCCCCTGGAGTGTCCCAGTCCATTCCACGTGCTGGAATCAGACCTGGCTGTCTCCTGCCAGCTGCAGCACTGGGAATTGCCTGGAATAAACTGGGCAAGGCTGCTGCCTCCTGAGCTAAATAGACTGTCCCAGTGCCAGCCCAAATGATGGCATGAGGCTGATGCCAGAGTCCAGGCAGAGGTTTGAGGGGAACGCTGGGGATGTTCCCATGTGTGACACATCTCTGCTGCTTTTGTCTCTCAGCAGTCACAGGTGTCTGAGGGAGACTGGGCAGCTTCCATCTAACCCATATCCATTTATTCTACACCTGGGAATGGATGGGATGGGATCCATCCCATATCCACACCTGGGGAAGGGGTGGGATGGGATCTGTCCCATCTATCCTGTATCCACACCTGGGAATGGATGGGATGGGATCTGTCCCATCTATCCCACACCTGGGGAATGGATGGGATGGGATCCATCCCATATCCACACCTGGGGAATGGATTGGATAGGATCTGTCCATCTATTCTATATCCAAACCCTGAGGAATGTATGAGACAGGATCTATCCCATCTATTCCATATCCACACCCTGAGGGATAGATAGGATGGGATCTGTCCCATCTATCCCATATCCAAACCTGGGGAATGGTTGGGATGGGATGTGCCCCATCTATCCCATATCCAAACCTGGGGAATGGTTGGGATGGGATGTGCCCCATCTATCCCATATCCAAACCTGGGGAATGGGTGGGATGGGATCTGTCCCATCTATCCCATATCCAAACCTGGGGAATGGGTGGGATGGGATCTGTCCCATCTATCCCATATCCAAACCTGGGGAATGGGTGGGATGGGATGTGCCCCATCTATCCCATATCCAAACCTGGGGAATGGGTGGGATGGGATNTGGGATGGGATGTGCCCCATCTATCCCATATCCAAACCTGGGGAATGGGTGGGATGGGATCTGTCCCATCTATCCCATTGGAAATACATTGGCTGTGATCTCGTGGCTGGCTGGTTGTTGCTGCCAGTGTCCCTCAGCTTGGGAAGTCCTGTGTATCCTGATCCCTGAAGGATCAAGCAGTGGCATTGCAGCAGTGCTGCTGGCTTGGGGCTCAGTTTCTCCTTTCTCTCTGTACATGAGGTTTGTTTCCTGCTCCCCTCAGAGCTGGGGTCCCTTCAGGCTGCTCCAGAACATTTACAGATGTGCTCCTTGGTGTATCCAGTGAGCAAGGACTCCTGCTGCATGGAGATTTTCCTTGTTGTCCATGAGTCAGGAGTTCCTGGGTGATTCTCATTCCTCTGAGCTCACCACAGGCTGTCCACTGTTACCTTTGCTGATGGTGCAGTTCCAGAGCAATTGCAGTGTGTGCATTGCCTGTGGATTGTCACTATCCCTGATTTTTCTCTTCTATTTCTCTCTCTCAGCCTTGGATCCCGTTATCCTTTGATAGTGCCCTTGAGGCAAAAAGTGCTCCGTGCTTCCTTGGGAATGGCTGAGCAGAAAATGAAGAGCCACTGAAGAGCAGGGGTGGCCTTTTCCCAGGAATTCCTCTTGCGTGGCTGTGCCATCCTTAGGAATGTGGGTCTGCCATGTGACCCTCAGCCAGTGCCAGGAAATTGTCATCATTAAATGCCCCCAAAGCCATCTGTTGTCCCCTGGCCAGAGCCACCATCCCTTGGAGGCACAGAATGGGAACGGCTCTTCAAACCAGAGGATGCTGCTTCACCCTCTGTGCTGCCAGCCTGGCACCGAAGGGTTTCCAGCTCCACCTTTCCACATGTCCGGCCTCAAACTGGTGCTTGCAGCACAGCTGGCACTCTCTGTGCCCGGGATAAAGTCAGGGAGAGGCTGGAAAAGTGGTGCCAGTCACCTTGGGGATGGGGCTGCTGAGCCAGCACACCCCGAGGGCTGGGCTGGCACCGCTGGCACCGCTGGCACAGCTGGCCGGAGTGGTGGCAAGAGGTCAGGGTGGCTTTTGGCAGCAGCTGGGCATTAGTAAAGATGAGCTGGAGTGTGACACTGCTCGGAGCTGGAAATAGAAGCAGGAAATGATTGGCAGCTGATCCCAGGCTGGAACGCCAGGAAACGCGGAGCGGAGAATCCACAGGCAGGGCAGATGTCCCTGGCAAAGCCTGGGAGAAGGGACGGAGAGCCAGGGGCTGATTTTGGGGCTGGGTTTGGAGCCGTGGCTCCCTGAGCTCCCCTCAGCCCTGCTTTCTATCCTGCTTTTCCTTCTGCATCGAGGCCTGGCCCCAGAACTCCCTTCCCAGGCTGGAGCTGAGGTGGGTCAGCTCCTGGGGCATGGGCCAGCCAGAATTCCCCATGGATTGCCACCAAATCAACACTGGCACTGCTGACTGATAAATCCATAAACTGCTTTGCAACTGAGACCTCCTCTAAACTCCTCTGTTGCAGCAAAAATTATCCAGGGAAAGAGTTTTGGAAAGAGTTTTCTATGGCAAAGTGAATGTTAATTTGTAGAAGAGGCTCCCAATAACAGCACATTGTAATGGCTTTAATAATGGCTTTTCCTTCATTCCATGAGGAATTCTCATTGTGGTTTGGGATTCCTTTAAAAAGTGTGTCCCTGGATTGAAGGAGAGCACGGAATTTGTGCTCAGCTTCAACTGGGAATAATTTCTCTTGGACTGGGACTCACTGGCAGTGGAATCTGGGATATCCCTGGGTTGTGGAAAGGGGGATTTATACCTGGACTTACATCAGAGCTAAAGTTTTAATAATTTTAATTTAAGAGGAGTTCTAAAATTATATTTGCAGAATTTATTGTTTACTAACGAAAATATTGTATCCCTCAGAATAAATCCTCCTCAGGCCTCTCCAGGCCAGGCTCACATAGTGTCTATTTGTATCTTGGGATAAAATCTTGGGATAACAAATGTTGATTCTTATCTTGGGATAACAAATGTTGATTTGGAAATGGTAGAGGATAGATAATGTTGAGAGAGAAGTGGAATTAGAAAAAAAGTTTTAAAGGGTAAAAAAGGGTTTTGTAAAAAAAAATGAAAGGGTGTTTTTGTAAAAAAAATGAGATATTTTGGAGAAATAGAATTATGAAAGATGGATTGTAGTAGGATTTATGAGGGGTGATTTCAGAGGGTTGGTTTTAAGGTATTTTTAATACAGTGTGATTAAGTTGATAGGTTAAGAAATGTTTATAGTGTATTGTAATTAAGAAATAGTTGGGTCACACTTTAAAATTTCTCTACAAATTAATTTCCCACAGTTCCCCACCAGTGATTGCTGCAATAATCACATTAAGACTTTGTTAATTTGTATTAATGATCATGTATTGCATTCCATTAATTATCCAGGTCCATCAGACAACCAAATCACCAAATAAAGACCAGTCCAGGCTGTCTGATCCTGATATTCAGCTCCAGATCAGGAGTACTGGACTCTGGAATTTATTAAGATTATCTTTGCAAATAAAGATTTTTTTGGGGGGTGGTGATTAGCAAAACTTCCCCTGGTGTTGTGCAACGATGTGCAAAACCTTAGTGGTGTTTCCCCATTAATGTGAATTTCTGTGGGAATCCTGAGGGCTCCAGGGGAGCTGGGGACAAGGGGACACAGGGGATGGATGGATGGGATGCTGGCAGGGAATTCAGTGTTTATTTTCTGTATTTGCCTCGTTCTGGGCACTTTGGAAGCTCATTTATCCACTGGAGACTCCCACAAAAGGGAGGCAGATGTGGAAGGGAAATGATTCCCTAAGAAAGTCTCTTTCTTCTCACTTTAAGGAGCTTTTGATAGAAAAGAACTTCAAATCAGGCAGAATTTTTCCATTTTTAGCTTTTCCTTTGCTGCATCACCAGGCTGAGTCGAGAAGGAGGCAATGAGAAGGAAAATCCTTCAGAAAATCCAAGTTTTTCCTTGAGGACAGCATTATACATTAATTAACATAACAAAATCCGTGGAGCCAAACAATATCTGAGTTTGCAGGAGGTGACAGGAGCACCATGGGGAAAATTCAGTTTTCCTGCCTTGGAAATAAACATTTCATTACCGTGTGCCTGAAAAGAGTGGGAACATTTGCTTGAATTATCCAAACAAATGAGCTTTGAATGGCTGACATACAAATTTCCCCCAGGAGGTTCAAGATTGGCACAGGGAAAAGATTTTATGGCAGAATCTGTTTGTGGAGGTTATAAAGACCAGGTTACCAAATTTTGGGCCAAAGAGGGGCTCTGATAGGTGGATTATTAGGGAATCATTTTCTTTCTCTGTCTCAAAAGTAATATTTTCTGATGATGTTTTTTGTATTTTCCTCGCAGATGGGTTGGAGATTAAGATTAAATTGATTTTTCCTTTTTTCTGTAAGGAATTCTTATGATTTGGGATTCATTTTAAAAGGGTGTCCCTGAATTGAAGGAGAACAGGGAATTTGTGCTCAGCTTCTTCTTAAATAATTCCTTAATAATTCCTCTTAACTGGGACTCACTGGCAGTGGAATCTGGGATATCCCTGGGTTATGGAAAAGGGCATTTATACCTGAAATTAGATCACAGCTAAACGTAAAGTATTATTTAACTGGTGCTTTATTTATACATTTAATTATTATTTATAAATACATTTTTCTGAAGCAAGTTGTTCTGTATCAGCTGAATAATTTGATTTATACAGGTTCAGCAAAAATAATTTCCTTTCTTTTCTTTTTTTTTTTAGCCTTCTGTTGAGTCTTCAAGCCCAGGTAAATATTTTTATTAATTTCCAAGGGTTTTGGCATCCTTTGAGTGGAAAAACTTTCCAGGAGTTCCTTCAGCTGGGTTGTTGTTGCCTCTTGAGGTTTTATTTCTTTCTGAGAAATAATTAAGTGCTTCATAATTAAACCTTAGAGTCGCTCCTCCCTGTCACACCCTCAGCATGGGGACAAGGTTTGGAAAATGGAATTTAAATTGTCCAGGGAAAAAAAGGGGAAAATATGAGTGGGGTTGGGATTAAAAATCAGAAAAGGGGGGAAAAGCAGAGTTGGAATTAAAAATCAGGAGAAAAGGGAAAATATGACAGAGTTGGGATTAAAATCAGGAATTGCTGAGTGACATCTGCCAGACCTTTCCTCTGTTCATTGTCACCAAATGGAGGCACAGAGCTGGGAAATGCCTCAGAAATGAATTTTTATGGCTGGGAAACCTGGGCACTGGGAATTTTGGAAAAGGCATTTTTGTGTTGCAGCTGTGAGTGAGGGAGATGCCCACAAATAAAGGAGTTTTTGCTTGGGAGGTTTTTTGGTTTTATTTGCTGAGTTTTTGTTATTTCTGAGAGTTTTTTATTTCTGAATTTTTTTTCTATTTGTGAGGTTTTTAATTTGTGAGTTTTTGTTATTGGGAGTTTTTGTTATTGGGGGTTTTTGATATTGGGAGTTTTTGTTATTGGGAGTTTTTTTTTTAATTTTTGAGTTTTTTTAATTTGGGAGTTTTTGTTACTGGGAGTTTTGGTTATTGGGAGTTTTTGTTATTGTGAGTTTTGTTTAATTTGTGAGTTTTGGTTATTGGGAGTTTTGGTTATTGGGAGTTTTTGTTATTTGCAGGTTTTTGTTATTTGCAGGTTTTTGTTACTTCTGAGTTTTTTTTATTTGAGTTTAATTTTTTTTATTTCTGAGTTTTTTGTTTTGTGAGTTTTTTATTTGATTTTGTTATTTCTGAGTTTTTTGTTTTATTTGTCAGGTTTTTATTTGTTTTTATTTCTGAGTTTTTTGTTTTATTTGTCAGTTTTTTATTTGTTTTTACTTGTGAGTTTTTATTTGCTGATTTTTTAAAGCTGACTTTTTATTTGCCGAGTATTTATTCGTGGGTTTTTATTAGTGAGTTTTGACTCTCTGCAGAGCTGAACGGAGCAGTCAGTGATTATTTTAGGGTGAGAATTTTCCCTGTCCTTGCTGCCAGCATCTCCCCAGAGATGGGAATTCCCTGGGCAGCGAGGCAGACACTGAGGAACCGGGGCCAATAATTGGAATTTCTGCTCGCGATTCTGCCTCGAGCCTCACCTGGAGAAACAACTGTAAAAAACCCAAGTGTGGGAGGCCTGGTAAAAGGAGGTAAAATTCTGGGAATGTTCCCCAGGAGGTTCTGCAGCCTCTGATGACCATGAGTTTGACCCATCTGCTGACATGCTGGTGCACGACTTCGACGACGAGCGCACCTTAGAAGAGGAGGAGATGATGGAAGGAGAAACCAACTTCAGGTCTGAAATTGAGGATCTCAACAGGGTAGGTGGCCTGAAGGGATCCCAAACCACACCCACGAAACATGCAGGGGTTTTTTTAATTGTCATCAAAACATTAATAAAGAAATAATAAAGAGGGGGGGAAAGGCTGAATAAATTTACCAGGAATTTGGGAAAATAAGTGGTATATAAATATTAATAATCTGCATCTATAGGATGAGAATTTTAGAACTAATATGAATTAAAATA